GCCGCCGTACAAAAGGGTAAACGGTTAGCCCCAAAAAGGGAGTAAAAATGTCACCATCCTCCTCGCAGAAGTGCCTGTACAGTCTGAGGCCGGCGACAACAAACACTGTCAAATCAGAAAACGGCTACGTACAAAAAGAGCACACGAGAGTTGTAAAAATCCTGTTTGTTTTTTTGTTTTGTTTTGTTTTTGAAAGATCACCCTGGAGGTGGGGTGTCTTAAATAAAAGTATAAAAGTGCAAGCAGACCTTTTCTCTCTAGTTTATTTTAACCTGTCGACTCAATACTGTTATTTGTTAAGAACTGAGGGTCGCGGGCTCGCCGTCTCCACGCCTGGGACAGGAGTTAAAGCTCGTCTGTAAACACTGGCCCGGCGCCCCTCGCCCCTCGCCCCCGGCCCGGTCCTCGCCCACCCCTGGCGCCCGCGGCTGGCCCTGGTGGCGCCGGCCGGGGGCCACGTCGGGGCCCACACTAGGAAAAGATATGAATGGCCTGGGTGGCCGGCGTGCGGCAGGCGGGGCACTCGGGCTCGCTCTTGCCGCAGATGCGGACGGCGCAGTCCATGCAGAAGAGGTTGTGGCCGCAGGGCACCAGCGCGGCCATCACCTCGCCCTCAGCGCACACCACGCACTCCCGCGCCAGGGCCGGGGAGGCCACCGCCGCTGGGGGCCCCGGGGCCACGGTGGCCGTCGAGGGCTTGCGGTTGCTCTCGGAGGCGCCGGAGTCCAGCGGGGAGCAGGAGGCCGCCGGGGCGCTGCTGGGCAGCGAAGTGGCCGCGGAGAAGGCGGCGCCGCCCGGGAAGGGCAGGGAGCCCTGAGGGGACCGCCAGGGCAGCGCGCCCACAGGGTCAGGGGCGCCGCGGCGGGCCAGCGGGAGCTCCAGGCCCAGACCGCCGGGCTCGGGCAGCGTGGGCGAGTGGCGCGGGGTCCCGGTCCCGCTGCTGCGCCGGGCGCTGGCGGCCGGTGGCGCCGGGGCCCCGTTGACCGCGGAGCAGCCACTGAAGGCGGGCAGGGGCGCGGCCCGCTCAAACGGGGCCCAGATGGTGGCCGCGGCGGGCACGGTCAGGTCCAGCGCCAGGAAATCAAAACTGAAGTCGCAGTCCTCGGGGGCGGCCGTCCCCGTGGGGGCACCGGGGCTGTCCCCACCGAAGGTGAAGCCCCCATTGCCAGCGCCACCATAGGGGCTGGCAGGGCCTGTGTCCTGCACTGGCGGCCCCCCGCGGCTGCCCGCATAGAAGGCCTCGGGGGCGCTGGGGGCACCGAGGGCACTGTCCCCGCGGAGGCCGGCCGTGGCCGTGGGGGGCCGCCGCCCTGCGTTGGGGGCCTTGGCCCAGAGGCTGGTGGCCGCGCCCAGCAGGTCCAGGCAGACGTCGGTGCCGTTGGCGTGGAAGTCGCTGTCGGGGCCGGCGTCGGTGAAGGCGCCGGTGCGCAGCGTGATGTGCGCCTCGATCTCCTCCCGTGCGCGGTCCACGTTCTCGGGCATGCCCGTCACCGCGAACACCGGCTCCTTGTCGCGCCCGGGCGTCACGATGTACGTGTGCGTCCGCTGCTGGATGCGCTTGATAGTGGCGCCCTTGGGCCCCACCACCAGCCCCACCACGCGGTAGGGCACGCGCACCTGGATGGTGGTCTGTCCCGGCAGGTTGGGCGGGCCCTGCGCGGCGCCGGGCAGCCCCCCGGCCTTGCTGCGCGTGGCGCGGATCATGGAGAAGTGCTCGGCGGCCGACAGGATCTCGCGCTTGGCCATCTCCACGTCCTCCTTGCGGCCAGTGACGATGAACACCGGCTCCTCCCCGCGCACGGGCGTCTTGATGTACGTGTTCGTCTTGGCTCGCAGAGCCTTGATCTTGCAGCCTGCAGCGCAGGGGAGAGACACGGTGAGGGGGGCCCCTGCCCAGCACGGGGTCCCACCTCGGAGCCCCCACTTCCCAGCCTTAGTGCCCGCCATGTCCTTCCTTCCCCAGCCTCAGTTTCCTCTTTGGGCTTCTGGGGTCTGGCAAAAAAGCATCTCCCTAATTCACGTCCACCTGGAACCTCAGAATGTGATCCTTGTAGTGTGAGTTTGTCCCTGGCCCCAAATTCATATCCTGGAATCTAAGGTCCAGTGTGACAATATTAAGAGCCGAGGCCTTGGGGCAGGGATTACGTGGCAAAGGCTCCAGCCTCATCAGAGATTAGCGCCCCTATAATAGAGGGTCCAGCGAGCTCCCTCGGCCCCCTCTGCCATGCCAGCACACACAGAAGGCACCACCTATGAGGTACAGGCCCTCACCAGACACCCAATGTGCTGGCACCTTCATCTTGAACCCGCCAGCCTGCAGCAGCAGTCACTGTTGCTGTTTCTGAATGACCCAGTCTAGGCTAAGGCTGTTACAGCAGCAGGAAGGGACTGAGACAGTGATCCGATTTGGAAACAGGGTCTTCGCGGACATTAGTTACAGCGAGGTCATCCTGGATAAGGGTGGCTCCTAAATCCGGTTTGATGGTGTCCTTAGAAGAGAGGACACACACAGAGACACCCACAGAGGAGGTGGCCGTGTGACAAGCAGAGACAGAGATTGCAGGGATGCGTCTACAAGCCAAGGAACACCAAGGACTGCCAGGAGCCAACACAAGCTGGCAGAGGCAGGCAGGATTGTCCCCTGCAGCCTTCAGGGGGAGCTCAGCCCTGCTGCCACCTCCATTTCCAACTTTTATCCTCCAGACCCGGGAGAGAATGAATTTCTCTTGTTTCAGGCCACCTGGTAGATCAGCCCCAGGAAACACAACAGAGACCCTGTGACAGGAATTCCCTGTCCAGCAGGAGAGGCAGCTGAGGCTGGCACTGTGGAGACCACCCACGATTTCCTTCCAGCCAAACAGCGCTGCTGAGGCCACCAAGACCCCTGCCCAAGGGGAGCCAGCCTCAGCCCAGTGGCAGCCTCCTGGGCCTCCAAAGGCCCCGGGTGGTCCCTGAGGGGATGCTTCCGGGACACAGCACTGTGGCTTCACTGTTGCTGGCTGGGCTGGGGGTCTGACCTTGTGTGGGGGAGGCGGGGTCTTTTCGGGGTATGTGGGAGGGGGCTCTTCACCCATTGTCCAGACAGCCCTGCCTGTCTGAAGGCCAGGTGTGGCCTTCCCCAGGTCCCAGACATGCCCACCCCCACCCCACAGAGCCCCTAGCTCTGGGGAGGCAGAGACAGAGGGACACAAGGATATTGTTTCAAGACAATCAGAGGGTGGCATTGAGAGGATAACAGTGTTGCTGACTCTCCAGCAGCAAAAGATACAAAATTAGTGGGACCAGCACATTTGAACATGAAGAACCAAAGAGAAGGTGCCTGGGCCAGAAATATGGAAGACATGGGTCCCAGGGACCCAGCAGGGGGAACGAGGTGGGGGACCCACCCTGAGGCAGACAGCAGCCCCCATGCCCCAGCCACACATGAACTTCCCACCTGAGCACTCTCCTTCCCCACCACCCTCAGTTCCCTCTGTTCCTCCCCAGGACATCTCAGCTCGGTGTCCCCTCCTCTAGGAAGCCCACCCTGACTGGAGCAGGCAGAGGGCAGAGCCAGCAGGAGGTTCCCGACATGGGGTCCTCCCATCTGGACCTCTGAGGTGCCTGGCCTGGGGAGGGTCACACAGGAAGGGGGTGGCTCCACGTGGCCACAGCTGAGCTCACAGGTTGTGGGTCACATAGAGTCTGGATGAGTGAAGAGACCAATCTGGGAGCTGTGAGTGGGTCAGGGCAGGGAGGGGCCCGGCAACCTCCCCCAATCTGTCCCCATCCTGCCCTGTCCCACAGCTAAGAGGCCTTAAGGAGAGAACCTGAGTCCAGGTCACCGACTGTGCCCAGCTGAGACCAAATCCGAGAGGTGAGAGGTGGTGGAGCTGGACCGTGAAGTTGGGGCTCTAGGAGCAACCCCAGCCATACCCTGTCCCAGTGCGGAGGACTCAGCCAGGCCAGACTGACAAGAACCCCGGGGGGACCCTGACCCCGGAGGTGGCTGATATTAGGTGGGTGCGGCTGAGATGCAGATTTCTGGGCCCTGCCCCGACCCTTCCAACTCAGAGAGCCGGGGCTGCCTGGGAATCGAGTGACTGCCGCAGAGGCAGGGACTGACTTGCCCCCAAATCCACTCCTGGCCCAACACAGCCAAATCCTCCTCTCCACGGGCAGGGGACACAGCCCATATCAGGCGGCATCGCTGATCTGACCCCTTGTGGGGTCCCGGCTGCAGACTTATCAACAAAACCACAAGGCTGAGAGTGGGAGCAGAGGCCGCCGCCCTGGGCTGGACGGCTGGTCGGGTTTAACACGGCCACCAGGAGGCCATGTACCCGGGGGAGTGGCTGAGGGAACAGCGGGGGCAGAGTTCCAGGGGCAGGATAGGGCTGGGACAAGTCCCCATCTCTAAAAATCAGTCCAACACACGGCGCCTGACCAAGCAGCAGGCACAGGACGGACAGTGCCGTCCCGAGCCAGTCCTGGCTGGGTGGTCTGTCGGGGGAGGAGGGGAGCTGGTTCCACTGTCAAACAGGGACATCAAAACCCTCCACCCAGGGAGCGTCTACACCTGCTAACAGATAAAAGAACCAACACGTATCCCCGCAACACCCCACACTGTCCCCAGCCACCAGAGAAGCACCTGAGGCCGGTAGGGGTGGGAGAGAGAGAACAGCGGGCTTCGGGGGCCTCCCCCAACCAAGGGAGGCTGTCTGAGGCCTCTGTCCTCAGCCTGTGACAACAGCAGAGAGGGAGGGAACCCTGGGTGGCTTCCAGGCCCAGCCCTGACTGCAGCATCATTCATTCGCCTGCTGGTTCCTGAGCACCCACTATGTGACAAGCCCCGTGCAAGGTACCAGGGACTCAACCATGACCATCAAGCACCTGGCCTAGGTCCTGCCCCCGGGAATTTGCAGGATGTGCCCAGGGTAAGGAGGGGCTGAGGGTGGGTCTCAGAAGGAGCTGAGCCTGGGGTCCCCCAGGTGACTTTCACTGACTGGCAGGAGAGAGATGCCCATACGTGTCCTCTGAGAACCTCCACTTCGCCCCCAGCCTTGGAGCTTTGGCAGGTGGGAAGCTCTTTGCTGACCCACCCCTGCTCCAGCAATGCAGGAAGAGTCGGAGAAACTAGGGTTTGAACCCCAGCCCCTGCCCTCTCCTGTGACCCCAGAAGCTACAGGACTTTCTCCAGAGCACACCTGGGGGCCCGGTGGCAGGTTAAGTCTGGCCATAGACTCAGCACCAAGTGGGTGTTGAATAAAGTAGCAGCAAATGAATGAATCGTATCCTTTAGCATATAGGAAAATGCCTCCCATCTGGGCCTCCGTAGCTTCAGGGAGGAGAGAGAGCTCACAGGGGGTGTGGACGACAATGGGGTGCCCGGAAAGCACCCGGACCCATTCTAGGGTTGAGAAAACTGAGGCTCGGAGACCAGCACATGGGGCTCAGGGAAAGGGCTGGCACCAGGTCTGTGTGACTCCGGTCTGGTGGTGGAGGCCAGGCAGGTGTACCCCTTTTGCCCTCTAGGAAAGGGGGTGGCCTTGGACCTTGGGTTTGACAGAAAAGCAGGAACCCCCAGGGTAGAGGGTGGAGTGAGTGACCAGAGAGAGGGAGGGGTCAGAGCTGGGGCACAAAGGATATTGAAGCGTGTGCTTGAGAAGAAGCGGGTGGGTGGCAGAAGCTGGGAGCCACAGATGGTTCTAGAGCTAGGGGAGATGCAAGGAGCACCGAGGCTGCCAACCTGCCCTGGAATTCATGGCACATCCCTGGCACTCCATAGGCTACTTCTGGGGCAGCAACTGTGTGCAACCCGGAGCTGGACAAGGACGCTTGCAACCACCCCAAAGGAGGTGCTGTCTCCACATCACAGAGAGGAGCTGTCATCTGCCCATGGCCACGAGGCCACTCCAACCTGCAAGGTGAGCGCTCAGGGCCCACTATACACCCCCCCCACCCCCCCGCACACACAGCCTGCCTTGCTGACTGCCACCAGCGGGAGCCCAGCCTGACACCCGGTAACTGGGTACTGAATGCACTTCCAGGAGGTCGGGGCCGAGCCTGGCGCCCCGGGTGGTTCAGTGCTCCCTGACCCTGCCAAGAAATGCTCAGCCTGAGGCCACAGGTCCCCATGCCCTCGGCCCGACTCCTATACTATAGCCTCTCAAAGGACCTCCAGGTGCCAGGACACACGTATTCGTGCAGAACACACGGTGCATCAGCCTGGTGACTTTGGGCAATCGGCCACGAGGCTGCAGTTCAGGACCAGCTGCCTGGGGGGTGGGGGTTGGAGGAGCAGCAGGATTGCAGAGGGGAGCTGTACGGCCCGGTCTCCCTGGGGGGCAACCAGCAAGCTCAGAGAACTGCCTCTCCCTCTCCCTCACTGCCACCAGCACGATGCCCCACCCTCCGTGTGTCCCCACATGAGCTGGACAAATGAATGACCAAGAGACAGAGCGCTTGCTGGCCAAACTGCCCCACCCACCCTGAACCAGGCAAGGGATGCAGGGAGGGCATCCCTGGGGTCCTCTGCTTTTGGCAAGGGTGACAGGTGACCTTGCAATTCAAGCCCCCCACACCCTTCTCTGGCTCCTGCTACTGAGAAGAGCCCAGAGGCTGGCCGGGGCCTCAGTGCCCTGCAGCCACACCTCAAGCCCCGCCCAGGCCCCACCCAAAGTTCTAGAACCTAGCTGGTCACAGGAGGTCAGCAGGGAGCCAGGGTGGGAAGGAGCAGGTGAGAAGGCAGGAGAAAGTTGAGGCCTGGCTGGGGGCAGGCAGCTAACAGGGTGGTGGGTGTGTGCTGGGCTGGGCACTGCCCACCAGCCGCCTGCCCGCCCCGCAGCTCGAGGGCCAATGAGCAGCGGCCGGCCTGATGTCACCCTGCAAATCTCAGCCTAGCTCTCTAACAAAGAGAACAATGGGGCGGCCACAGGGACGCCCTGACAATGCCCCTTCTGGACCCTCACACCCTGGGCTTGACGCCCCCGGCCTGCCAAGGAGGGCTGCCAGGCTGTACCCCACAAGTTGCTTTGATAGCCGGTCCTCCCACAAGCCCCCAGTCCCTGACTCAGGCGTGAGAGTGGGGTGGGGGTCTTTTCCCACCGGTTCCTGCCCCCACCCCAGTCAGGGCCCCCGTGCTGGGGAGTTGAGATGGACCCTCTTTGTGCGGTCACACTTCTCTCCCCATCATGCAGGCGGCCCCCCCAAGCCACCCCCAAATCTGAGCTTGCCCCGCCCCGTGCCTGTTTTGGGTGTGGAGCGCCCACCGCCCAAACCAGACCCCTGGTCCCTAGCGCCCCTCTCCGGGATGCCCCTGCGGCGCGAGGCCCTGGGCAGCGGCGCACACCCGCTGCTGGAGGCGGCGCAGACAAAGGCAGCAGCCAGGCCGGAGCGCCGAGGGGAGGAGCGCGGGCTGCGCCCAACTTTCTCCCGCGGCTGCTGCAGGACAAAGGCGCACAGGCGGCCTCCGGGGCCGGAGCCCTTGGGGCGTGTCTGGGCTCCGGCGTCCGGCCGCGGGCTGGGCGGGAGCGACCCCCTCCCCGGGGCGGGCGGCGCGGGGACCCCCGGGGCGGCGTCCCCGACGGCGGCCACTCACCCTGGCGACCCACGATCTCGGCGACATGCTCCGAGCTGGGCACGGGCACGCACTCGGTCATGTTCACGCTCTTCTTGCGGCTACCGATCACGCTCATCTGCTCTGCCAGCAGCGTCGGGGGGCCCAGGGCCGCGGGGTGGGGCGCGAAGCCCGCGAACACGTCGGGTGGCGACGGCCGGGGCTGCGGTGGCGGGGGGCTCACGTCGGGGTCCAGCAGCGACAACGGGCTAGGGACCACGGCCACCGCGGACGCCACGGTCAGGGGCGCGCCGACCTCGGGCCCGTCGGGGGGCGCAGGCTCAGCCGCCGCCCCGCCGTCTGCGCCCCCCGCCGCCGCGCCGTCCCCGCCGCCCGCGGCTGCCCCCTCCTCGTCCGTGTCGCCCGCGCCCCCCAGCCCCAGCG